CCGGCTGATTTTTTGATTTTTTGTAGAGATGAGGTCTCACTGCCCAAGCGGGTCTCGAACCCGCGGGCTCAAGCAATCCACTCACCCCAGCCTCCCAAGGCACGGGATTACAGGCTGAGCCCCGAGCCCGGCTAACTTCTGCATTTTCCAAAGGGCCCTTGCCTCATGGCCACCGGGAGGGAGGCTCTCCACAGACTTGCCCTCTCCAAGGATGATGTGGCTTCTGCCCCTGCTGGTGACTGTGCGCCAAGAGTTATGGTTGTACTGAGTCCCTGTTCAGAAAACCTATAAGCCACTGAGTGGCAGATTGCTACATTGGATCTTTTCCATGTAAAAGAAATAGCTCGGGAAACAGCGGGAGCGTGGGGCAGTGGGGTGGTGGAATCCACAGTAGTGAAAAACCGGGGAAGGGGGAACACAGCTCATCACCAAGGGTACCTGCACAATGAATATTTGTATACCTAGCCCTGAATTGTACCCCACGATTTTAAAAAATGTGAAAAAAGGAGAAACTTTGTTTTCTTGGGAATAGAAAGACATTCTAGATACGAATTTGCCTTCCCTGCCTAAAATGCTTTTGCAGGCAGTAAACAGAAGGCCTTACTCAGTGCCATGATTTTCCATACAAATCACCTCAGACCCAGGAACTTGTTTACAGCGAAGGACATAATGGGATGGAATTACAGAGTTGTTTTTTTTTTAGAGTTGGAGTCTCACTCTATCACCCAGACTGGAGTGCCGTGGCACACTCCCAGCCGCCACAGCCTCGACCCACTCGACTCCGGTGATCCTTCCACCTCAGCCTTCCAAGTAGCTGAACCACAAGCGCGTGCTACCACGCCCTGCTAATTTTTGATTTATTGTAGAGATGAGGTCTTGCTAAGTTCCCCGGGCGGGTCTCAAACCCGTGTTCTGAGACAATCCTCTCGCCTCGGCCTCCCAAAGTGCTGGGATTACAGGCTGAGCCACTGAGCCCTGGCCTACACAGAATTTACTGGCATTACCAAAAGCCCCCGCCACCCAGAAGAACCTGACTTAACAAAATGGTAGATAGGCACAGTGGCTCAAGCCTGTAATCCCAGCACATTGGGAGACGAGGTGAGAGGATTGCCTGAGCAACTTGTCTCTACGATAGATAGATAGATAGATAGATAGATAGATAGATAGATAGATAGATAGATAGATAGAGATAGATAGATAGATAGATATAGATAGATGCTGAGTGTGGTAGCATGCACCTGTAGTTCCAGCTACGTGGAAGGCTGAGGCAGAAGGATCACCCAATCTAAGCAGTGGAGGCAGTGACTGTGAGAGTGCCACTGCACTCAACCTGGGCGACAGAGTGAGAATCCAATTAAAAACAAAGAATATATATATATACACACACATACACACACACACACACATATATATAAAACACCCCAAAACAAATAGGAGTATATGTTAGAACAAAAGGCTAATCTACACCAAAAAATGTAAGCGAAAACTGGAGTGCATAGGGAAATGTTTTGTCTGGGATGCACCCCGCAATTAAAATCCCCATCAGTTAGGAAGGAAGCATGTTCTCTCCTGGAAATAAGGCTCTCGGGAGAAGCTACTTCCCTGGGAAAGCTGGAAAATGCAGGGCCTCCAGGGGATGAGCAGGGAGGAAGATAGAGCAAATAACCCGGGCCCCAAGAAACCTAGAGTTCTGGCAGTTGCGATTCCAACCAGTCCTAGTTCCACAACGTCAACAAGGGAGACGAAAATGGAAACACTCAACCAAATGACTGCACTGTTTTGTGTGATTTACCACTTATAGGCACTGTCGCTCATGCCTATAATCCCAGCACTTTGGGAGGCCAAGGTGAAAGGATTATCTGAGCCCGCAGGTTCAAGACCAGCCTGGGCAATGTGGTGAGACCTCATCTCTTCAATAAATCAAAAAATTAGCCAGTTGTGGTGGCACGTGCCTGTAGTTCCAGCTACTTGGAAGGCTGAGGCAGAGGGATCGCTTGAGCCTAGTAAGTTGAGACTAGGGTGGCCCTAAGCGTGCCTCTGCACTCCAGCCTGGGTGACAGAGTGAGACTCCAACTCAGAAAAAGACAGGAAAAGGGAAAA